ACGACATGGACGCTTTCAGTGCTACATTTATTTGCAGTGTAAGGTCAAGGTTTTAATTTTGGGGCTGTCTGCTTAGGAAGGCACTTTTCTCTGCAGGTTCTTTTCTGTAAAACGGAGCAACATCCACTATTTGAAAGAACAACTGCAGTGAACGCCGTGGGCCTCAAGCAGGTATAAATCTAAAGTGATGGTCTTCCAGTCTGAACAGAACAAGTTAACAAGCTATACTCTTGACTTTAAATGTCGACAATCTACGGGAATTCACAGAGTTAATGCTGGGATGCATTTACTCTGCAGGGCTCAGACCCACTAACAGCACTCAATGTGCTAATCACATTTATCTCTAATGACGGATTCAAAATTTTAACCGTGTAATCAAGATGCCTTCATTTTGAGAATATAGGTGAAATCCTATTTTAACAGTGAAGCTGTGCAAAGCTGACTGCTCTGTTTCTCTCTTGCAGTCACTGTAAGAGAGTCTACGCTTATAAATGATTAATAACAAGAGGAAGGGCTGTTTAAGGATGTTTTGCTCTTAAAATAAATTTTGAAAAAAAAAGTTAGCGAAATATAATTTGTCTTGTAAATCGGATAATAAGATGTGCTGCAGTTATTTTTGTTGCCGTCATTTTAGAAAATGTTGGAAGCATCTCTGCCCTGCAGAATCTTATTATATGTGGATGCCTTCATTGATACAGGGAGGGGAAATGTGCAATTGTGTCTTAATTTTGAAAAATAAAAAAAGTTTGATACAAACAAAAGATATGCCAACCAGCAGTCTCATAAATAAAAAAAAAAACAAAAAACAAATGAAATAAAATGTTAAAAAAGGAAATCCTCCAAACTAGTTTGATTTATAATCTGAGAGCAGGCGCTTTTGTACAGGCAAAGTGAGTAAACTAACCAACATTAGCGCTAGCCACGCTGCTAGCTCACTTGAGGTGATTTGGATTTAAATTAAAACCCCCAGTTTCCATCGCCAGTGCCTCTCCGGAGATAAATTTCCACAAAGCAACACGTGAACCGCAGCCACGGCGGTAGTCATTTCCTTTTTAATATTAAAGTTAACGACATGTTATTTTTATTTCATAAAATTTTCACTAAATATAACCTCATGACTCAGTCTCAGATGTGGTGTTTTAATAGATTTGCAGTAATAAACTGTGCTTCCCTTGATTAGAGGAAGCACTCAGGAGTATGAGTGGGGTCCTTAATGAAGAAGCATAGGTAATGGCTTAAAGAGGGGTATTATATGCAGCTCTGCTTGTCTTTGTATATGTAAGGTGACTTGCCACGTGTTCAGTGGGAGACAATGAAGCATTAGAATAATTTAAAGCCCGACTGCTTGCGCTATACACCTCTCAGCTGGAATGGTAAAAGCTTTCAGTGAAATGCTTTATCGCAAGTTGTTATTGGTAGAAAAAAAAATTCTGAGCTCTGTAAATATAAAACGGTGATGTAATCATGAATGAATATATGAAAAGAGGATAGTCTGCGAGCAAATGATTTTCTATCTCTATTGACGGCTTTAGCAGAGAACAATTCGATCATTGTTGGTATTCCTGATAGATTCTTTTCTCTCGTTTTTTTGTTTTTTTGTTGTAAAAACAGAGGGGTGCTACAGCTGTTAGATAAATGTATTGTGTCTCTATAATTTTGTATTTTTGAAACCTTCAAACAGACAACATGCTTCGGCAGAGGCTGTTGTGTAACACCGGTTTGTTTTGCCACGGCTTGTTTGTTGTATCTATTGAAATTTTAATCATGCGGCCACCAAAACATGAACTCTTTGAAAGATACAATAATACAAAGAAGCAGGGGATTGTTGCACACCAAAAAAGAAAAACAATACAATACAAACGTAAAGACCTAGTCCATTATTATTATTATTATTATTATTGTAAAGCAGCATAAGCCACATTTTTATCTACCTTAGGGAAGAAATTACGCTGCCATAGCAGTAAATAACGAGGTTTTGGACGGTTGAAAGGAGATCAGTGAAGTTGGTCTGTTTTGTGTTTTTGAGGTTACAGTAACATGCTGAATCTGGAAAGATTTTCTATTTTTTGCACATCACAGTTAAGAAAATGATCAATATTCCTTAGAATACACTCATAGATGCTGCAGTTCTGGTAATACGAACTTTGTCACGAGATAACTCATTGTAGAAGAATCTAACAGTTTATAATGTAAACACAATAATAATTGTTATCAAGTAGAACCTCTGTAGTAGCAGCAGCACTGTGTGTGAATGAGAAAGCCATCATTAGGGTGATGGCAGGGAGGCCTTCCAACCTAAAGGATGAGGAGCTCATCACCAAAGAAAAATCCTCAAAATACCTGCAGAAAAGAAATGCACAAAGGCTGCTCAGCAATTATTACAATGGTTTGATGTGTGTAATAATGTTGTAACTATTTTAGAATAAATTATACATACAATAAAAAAAAAAAAAATGATTCTTGCGTCATCTTGTGAGAGATCTAATTTCCTTTGGGAGCCAAACTTGGCTCCCAAAAGATTAGATGGAAGAAACCATCTAATCTTCTTTTCCTATTGTCTGACTTTAGAAATGCCGTGATAGTTTTAAAAATATGTATAATTTCCTCTTCTTGTTGGACAGCTGGCTTTTTGTTGTTCTTACTGTTGGGCAGAATGTTTTAGTTTCCTCCGTCTATAACTGATTTCCATGGGGGAATTAAAATAGCCTTTCCAAAACCCATTACCAAAAGCCCACATAGTCACTGGATTTATTTAAGCTGACACAGATGTGTAGTCAGGCCACAATATATCTATTTTTTTGCAGCCGTTTCAGGAAATAAACAGGAAAAATAAAAAAAAACAAATCAGTATTTTCCTCCATTTATCCTTCAGTTTGCGTACTTTAGCCTCTGGGTCAATGGTTCTGATGGGGCTTTTCTTTTTCTTTTTCTTTTTTTACACACAAAGCAATTGTTTCATCTCACTGTGCCAGACAAATCAGTCAAGTCTTTGGACTGGACAGATCTAAAGGTCGGATTTAAAGGTCTGAACCCAGGCAATCAGTTTTATTGCATGTTGGTGAATTTCATCAAGACAGAAAGATGAGCAATACATGGGCTGGGATTTCAGTGGAGGGCCGCGGTGATTGATGCTTTCCTCAGGTGGGCAGTTAGTGCAGATATCTGTATTGAGGGTATCAAGATGATGACTGGAGGGGTTTATCTGATATAGAATCTGTCACGAGTCATGAGTCAGAAAATCCGAAGCCGTCAGCAAAGAAGCAATGTGTGAATTAGCCACCCTTCCATCATTTGGCTCAGTGAAACGCAGTTCCTTCCAAAAGTAATAATGAAGTGGAAGGGAAATAAGTTGCGTTTTTCTGTTTTCTCACAAATAAATATCTGAAAAAAAAGCAGTGTGCATTGGTATTCGCACCTGTGTGTCAATACCTTACAGTGTGTCGTCTTTCGTTGTAATTGCTGCTCTGTTGAGTTAGCGCTCTTCTAGAGTTTTACATCTAGAAACCTAATTTGTAGCCTATTGTTCTTTGCAAAAATGGACTGGTAAACATAAATCCTAAACTTTTTCAGATTCTAATCTTTCATTTAGGTGGCATTACATGGAAGCAATTTGATCTAAACCATTGCATTGCAGCTCTGGCTGTATGTTCAGGGCTGCAATCCAACTGAAAGGTGAACCTTTGTGTCATTCTCGAGCTCCACATTCGCATGAAATCGGTCAAAAAATATTTTTTACATGTTTGTGTATCACCTGCCAGGCTCAGATTTTAGCAGCCAATGTGTTGAATTGAGAAAGAAGAGCGCCAGTTTCCTGATTAGAAAGAATTTAAATGATATTAGTACAACAATAAAGCTCATGTTAGGTGTTCTAAAGTGTTTTGACAACCGTGACAACCTTAGAGGCTTTTACTGCGACGCTACATGAAAACATCAATGTCCTTGATAAAGTTTAGCTGAGGATTTGTCCCTCGAGGGTTTAACATCCGCACCAACACATCATACCGACTGCCTCCTGATATGGATCTAATTCGACTCAAGTGCAGGACATGGCAGGAAGCCTAGGAGGGTTGGAAGGACATGGGAAGCCAAACAACAACAATAATAATAATAATAATAATAATAATAATAATAGAATCAGAGCTATTGAATTGTGTGCTGCTCCTCTCTCATCAAGATAAGCTGCCATGCCCTCCATTCACTGTTGAAATTCCTTGTTTTGTTTTCACCAGCATCACCTGTTTCTCTGCCTGTCGCATTTCTGAATCCTTCTTTTCCTAAGGGCTTCCCTGTACGACTCTCACCATCAGCTGGGGAACCTTTCATGACTCGAGCCAGTAGCCATTATCTAACTGCTGTCATACTGAGATCCGGTCCAATCCGGACCCCAAGCACCCGGGCATATTGAACGAGTCGCCTGTTACCTTCTCTCATTTCTCCAAGCAACCCTGCCCTGTCGAAGGGGCGGCGGGCCGAGACGCTTCGGTGAGAAACAGAGAGCTAAGGAGACGGACTCCTATCCTGTCTGCTGACTGATAGCCTGAGATCCTGAAAGCGAGTGACGTTTCCATGGAGATGAGGATGGAGAACTCCGCGCTACTCTGCTGATCTGGAACTAGATAAGTGCACAACTTCAAACCTGTTTGTTCGTTTTCTTTCTTAGATCAGATAAAAAAAGGAAGATCTTTTCAAATAAGATTTGGCTAAAAAATCTAGTAAGGCATCAATTTGAGCGAATAATAAGATGAGACCTTTCTTTTTTTTTCTTCATTGTTCTTCATTGCTCGTTCTTTAATTTGAGTTGGTTTGGTTTGTTAGACATGTGTAAATGATTGATAAGGTCCATGTATTTTTACATTCCTATTCACTGATTATTTCCTGAGAAGGTCAAGAGTCCACATCAGACTTGTAACCAGATTGTTTAATTGATTATTACATAAATTATATTACCTGATTAATATGTTCAATAATCTAAGTATTTTGATGCTAAAATTAGCTCATTGGCAAGACAGTTACACTTTTTGCCAACCTGACTGCAGCACCTTTTTCCACATGCCTGCTGTGTCCCATACTGTCTTGCAGGCATGATTTCTTCCACATTTCTTTCAAAAGGCTCTATTCTTCCCAAAAGGCACGTTTGTAGGATTCATGACTAATTGTTGCCTGTCAACAAATTCTCCCACACGAGTCTCTGCAGCTCTGCCAGAGCTACCAAAGGCCCTTATTATTAATACTGCTGTTGATGAATGCTCTCCATGTTTGCTTTTTTCCACACTCTTTGTATTGTTTGATCCTTTTTGCTCCTTTAGATGTTCTTTGCTTTGTCTAATTCTGCCTTGAATTTCTTCCCAACTTTCTTTCGGACTTGTCTGCTGTGTTGTTGTTGTTTTTTTATGATAATGTTCATTCACTTATGTTCTCTAACAATCCTCTGAGGCCTACATAGAATAGCTGAATTTATACTGAGATGAAATTACACAGGGCTTGACAAATTAGAGCAATCTGGAATTTATTTAGGAGCATCAGAGTAAGGGTGACTGCATACAAATATGCAACGTAACTTCAAGAATTTTTTATTTTTTTTGGTAAACAAAAAATGTAATATCTTACAATACATGTTTTCATTACACAATTAAGTCCTCTACAGTGACTGCATGCTATTGAGAAGTAATTTGTGCCACATTAATAATGAAATCCAGGACGCAGAATCTCACACAGAGTGAGAGCACTAACCAGATTCCTTACAGGCGCGCCAACTAAATTTGGTAAACCAGGAAGACCTTGTAAAAGCAGTTTAGAAGACTGAGCAAACACACAGAGCAAAATGTAGGCTACTAAATTATTACATGATGTCTTTTTGGTTTTGTCAGTAAGTAAAGCTCTCATTTTATTTAGCATTATTTTACGCCATGAAATAACACAGAAGAGGAACTTCTGAAATGTCAAGCGGCGAGAAGGACAACCCTCAAATAAACATGAGGCCTAACAACTTGTCTTTTTTAGGATCTCAACCGTGATCCTAGTCCCAAACTTTTTTCTTTTTTTTTCTTCTTTCTTCCTGTCTCGTGACAGACAAATGTCGGTCAATCATAGGCAGTGTGTCGGTACAATGCCGCTGCTTGGTGACTCATCGCTAAATCTATCATTGTCGACGGACATATGCGGCATGTGGTATGAGAAGTGACACCGGTGTCAGCGCGGAGCATTTTTCAGCGTGGGCTTTTATACCCGCTCACCAGTCAGAAAGTACGCAACCAAATGGTCAGCTATATTTACCAGCGTGAGACTATGGGACAACAACAAGAACAACAACATTTGTCAAGGTTCGTATCGACTGGCTTCCAATTTCCATCTGACTCGCATGAGGATGAAAAAGCAGGAGATTTATTTCCATTCCGTGCATGCTAGTCTTGTCGTGTAAGGCTCCATTGTGACGGTCTTATCTGTCACTGAAGGGGTGGCGCTGAACGAGGTGAGTCACAAAGACACAGTGCAAGCTGGAGCAGAGTGACAAGGGTCCGCGTTTTAAATGTATGTCGGTCTGAAATTCTTGGAGCTTGTTTACAGGTAGTAAGGACAGGAGGACGTCAGAGATATGAAAGATTTATACGGGCTATTTATAGGTCGTCTACCCTTACATTTACAAGTGTGCTGTGCTCTGGAAGGTACAGGGCTTGTCTGAAATGTTGGAACTCCTGCCTGAAGCCATAAAGGAGTGATTCAATTAAAATGCTCTGACCATTAAACGAGGAAGCACTCAGAAGCCCTGGCAGTTGAATAAATCGATGAGTGGGATCTGTCCAATTAATTAATCCAGAAGGTAAATAGTTCTCTAGAACCAGTGTAGCTAAAAGCGAAGGGGGCGTGACAAACGTGACACTTTTTAACCTGCTACCATAAACTCGGAGACCATTAAGCCAACATTGTTAGCGCTTTCCTCTAATTCAGGGAAGGCAAAGCGAATCCTGAAGTTAATTACAGCTTTTATCGCAAAGGATCAGTGGCCATCGAGAGTTGCTGAGAGTCAATACCAACTTGAAAATATTTCACTGAAACGCACATTTCCTCAAGGACGAAAACAATCCAGTGATGTTATCACAAGTGGGTAAGAAAGATCCAGCTTTTCATGCACAGACTGCCTTTCAAATACAGTATTGAGGTCAAGAGGTTGTAACAGGAGTAGGTGTTTATATAAGCTGCAACTTATGTGCATACCCTCTTTTTTAGTTTCAGACTAAATAAATAGATTTCTTTTTCCATCCAAACAGTAAACCTAATGCACAACAGTATTATTTCTACTGTATCCTGTTGAAATGTTCAGCCAGATGGTGGAAATCTTCATCAACATTGCGTCCAAGGTAAAGATGAAGATACTCACCAATTGGTAACACCAGGAAGAACGGCAGCCAGCACAACACAAAGCAGCCAACCACAATGCCCAACGTCTTTGCAGCTTTCTTCTCACGTGAAAACTTGAGTAACCGCAAGGCGAAATGCGTGCGGCTGCGCAGGGACTCCTCCTCCAGTGCGGTTGTGTTTCCACGGTGGATCCTGAGAATCACCTGCTCCGAGTCTGACTTCTCCGTCTTGTGGCCCTCTCTGAGGCCCTGGCTCTCTCTGTGAGCGACGACATAAACTCGACAGTACATGACCAGAATGATGGTCAGGGGGAGGTAGAAGGAGCCGACGGCCGAGAAGATCGCGTATCCTGGCTCCTCGGTGATCTTGCAGATGGACTCGTCCTCCGGCGCCGGTTCCTTCCAACCAAACAATGGTCCGATGGATATGATTATGGAGAGCACCCACAGCAGCATCACTGCCAAAAGAGCCCTGCGCTTCGTCATGATGGAGGGGTAGCGCAGAGGATAGCTGACTCCGATGTAGCGGTCCACGGAAATCACGCAGAGGCTCATGATGGAGGCCGTGCAGCAGAGCACATCCACAGCCGCCCAAACGTTACAAAAAGCCCGTCCGAACACCCAGCGATCCAAAATCTCAAAAACGGCTGAAAAGGGTAGCACGGTGGAGCTCAGCAGCAGGTCTGCCACCGCCAGGTTGACAATAAAATAATGCGTGACCGTCCGAAGGTGGCGATGGCAAACCACGGAGAGGATGACCAGGATGTTTCCAACCACTCCGAACAGGATGAACACGCCAAGAATCATCCCTAGAGCCACAGTCTTCACCACCCTGAGCTCTGGGAAGAAAATGTGGCTGCAGTTCGTGCAGTTCTGGGTCAGAGAAGCCGGGGTCATGTTGTCCAACACGGGACCCATCAGCTCCAAAACGGTGCTGGTTTGTGGGCACGGGGTCCGTGGAAAGCACAGCACCTTCAGTTTTGTTCTCCGAAGAAAAAAAGGGGCTTCATGGCATTCTCGTGAAAGCCATCAGAGTAATGATCACATCAAGGCAGTCTTGTCAAAACATAATTTGAATGATGAGGCCTCCCGCAAATGAGCCATTATGCCGGCAATGCACCGAGATGCTTCAAGAATTACTGAGAGAGAAGAATAAAATATGCAAATGAAGCCTACTTTGTTGAAATCAGGTAATCCATCTCGAAAAGATTTGCGATGTTATTTCTGATATTATACAGCTGGTGCAAAGCGCTGACAGAAAAGCACTACAAAGGGGATGGACACACGGGTGTACCTTGCACATCGTCTCGCCAAAGATAAAAATGTCACTCTGGACCCAAATTTTAAGTCTTTTGTATTAAAAGCTGGAACGAGAAGCCACTTTTTTGGGCCGAGTGGGAGGTGAGCAGCACTTAACAGACAGCCTCTCCCCATAGCATGCAGGGGCATATTGAGCTGCAGCATTCTCCGGCAGCCTCCTGCGCCTGTGACAAGAGAGACAGAGGAACAAGTGTAAAGAGAGCTAGCACATTCATCACACACACACACACACACACACACACAAAAATATATATATAAAAACATCCACGATTTTGCCTATTGTTTCAGGTTTATAGTTTCCTTTTTTCTTTTCCTTATAACTTGCTCAGCCTTGTGTAGTCTGTGGGCGAGAAGCGGCGTCTGAACTACAGTTGGTGTGAGAGCTGTGTGAGTGCAGACTCCTCTTATCGAGTAAACAAAAAATGTGAGGTACAAGAATTTGGAAAACTACGCTGACATTTTCAGAACACAGCACTCTATTGAAAAGATGTTTTCTTTTTTTTTTTTTTAAATCGCCATTGTTCCTGCTCTTCACAATTGCGCATTACTTTGTGTTGGTCTACTGCATAAAATGTCAATAAAATCCTCTGATCTATGTGGAGGCAAGGCAGAAATTTGTTTGCGAGGCACTGTGTAATCAAACTTCAAAGCCACATCTCTCCAGGATGTTGTCACACACTTGTAGCGTGAGAGGGCTCCTGGATGAAAAGTTTTCATTTTAATAAGAAAAGATATATATTTTCGGCTCCTTGGATAAATGTTATGCTTTCTTTGCACGCAGATCCTCCTTTACATCAGCTGGTGATCTCTTCTTCCAGAATCAGACTCCGCTTTATTCGACAGGTTTGTGCACACAAACAAGGAATTTGTCTTTGACTCAGATTTGCTTTCAATGAGGAGAGCATTGCTTGGCTAAAAGTAAATGATGCCGTACCAGCATAGCATCTCCATGTCATGGGCAAAAACTGATGGACACAAAACTAATCCTGCTTGTGCAGATTAAACGAATGTTGATTAGATAAGTAAAAGTACTGTGGCATTGTTGCTGGTTTGGATTTTGCTAATCTGCTTTGTTGAAGACTGAAAAGGTATTTTGAGTCTATCTATCTATCTATCTATCTATCTATCTGTTTTTGCAGGTGAACTCTTTCTGGCACAATGTGCAAAAAATAAATAAATAAAATCCACTGGATGGACATCAAAACACACCACCTCGAGCTTCTATCACCCACACAAGTCAAAGTAGAAACCTTGTAACAATCTCCATAAGGGATTTATGAGAGTTGCATTTTTCTATCCTCTTGTTTTGCTCAATCAGACTAAAATCTTTATCCGTCATTGGAAGTATTTTGCTCCTTTAGTTTAAAATATGCAAGACTCTTGTGGTATAAGACAAGGTCATTTTATTAGAAAATCACAATCTGTCAGAAAACTATTTTGCTCAAATGATTTGATATTAAAATTATTATTTCTTTATACATTAAGCTGAAAAGTATGGCATGTGTGGGTATCTCATCTGAGTATGTGCAGCTTTTAGAAACACTTTTTGCTTCAATTGCAGCTGCAGGCCTGTAGGGGGCGTACAGACTCGGGCTTCCTGTTGGAAGGTGACTCATCCAGCTTTGTCAGCTCTTAGCAACCCTGTTCTGCAGAACAGCACCTCAGCATGATGCTTCCACCACCACGTTTCACAGAGGTGCAGTTAGAGGGATGAGGAGCGTCAGTTTTCCCCATTGCACATATTGTTTGGCTTGTGAGCCAGAAAGTTCAAATTTGGTCTCATCTGACCATGCAGGGTAAACGTATGCTCTTTCCCACTGTGTGGCTTCTATCACTTCCACGACTGCTTATCAACTTTTTCTACATACGCTGTCTTCTTGCCACTTTTTCCTGAGGCTAAATGTGTGAAATATAACTCACTACAGTTGTCGTGTCAACAGATTCTTCCACCCGAGCCGTAAATCTCTGCAGCTTCTCTGCGTCTTTGCCGTTTTCTCTGATTAGTGTGTCAGTTTATGTTTAATGTTCTCATACAGATCCCCAAGGCCTTCGCAGAGACAGTCAGATTCGAACTGAGAATAATTCAGTCAGAAGGATGCTTTAGATTTAATTTGAGGTTATCCGACTTCCAGTGGGAGGAGTACACGAGCAAAAGTGATGTGGAAAAAGTCGCATAAGCGCAAGGAACCCAAATTAAAAAATAAAAAATAAAAAAATAAACAGTTACACAAATATAGGACTAGCAATCATTTCATACTGGTGTTTCAGGAGAATGAGTTTTCATTTCTGCTAATTATTCAGGAGAATTTCACTCTTCTCTGTGCCTTTAACATCCAGAAGAACACACATCCACAGTGGGGGGTGATGAGTAAAAGGGCAAGCATACTGCAGGGCAGCCCAGAAAAGCCCGGTGTTGGAAGCTGCTGTCACACAGCTTGCTCCGAAGGAAATGGTGGAAAAAAAAAAAAGAACATAGATTTTTTTTTTTTTATTCTCCTCCAATGCAGGAAGAGCTGCAGGTATAAGCTCCGTGTTTGGCAGTTCTCCAGTCTGATCCACGGTGGACAGCTGGACTGCGCTGTCTGTCAGTACTTATTTTAGTTGGTCAGTGGTAAACAGGCGTTCGTGGTTCAGATGTAATCTCAACCTCTTCACCGCTGCGCGCAGTAAAATCCCAGCTCTATAAGAGGCGGACACGGCGCCGGACGACACCTGACAGAAAGTTCATTTCCAGCGCAGTGAAATGACAAATGGATGGACGGGGCCGTGGCCACCAGAGAGCTCACTCACAGACCTTTCCGCTCTACGCCCACTGAAAACTTCACTGTTGTCATTAACATCAGTTCTAAATTTAAAGATTATTTAGTGTTGGCAGAGACTGGTTTTAAAAGGGATGAACTCAATGATTAAAAAGGCGAGGGTTGGCTTTGGATGCCCGCGCGCAACAACTTCAGATTATTTCTTACCTTGTTTAATACAATTATATAATATATTATCGCTGCATACTTTTATGGTTAACTACATACAAGTTGGCTCGTGTAAATATAACCTCTAAAACAATATATAAATGAAATGCCTGTGCAGACAAATAAAAAACACGCACCAGTAAGGGGGGGTGGGGGGGAGGACAAAGGAAAGCAAGTTACGCACACACACACACACACACACACACACACAAAAAAATACTTAAACATTTGAAATGAACATATCTGGGAGACTCACCTAACTTTGAGTCTGTTCCCGCATCCCGACGGCTGCTGCGCTGAGCGGCGTTTGGATTCGGCTCCGGCTGCCGAGTCGCGCAGGGAGGCGGCGGCGGGCGGAGAGCCAAGTGCGCTCATGACGGAGAGCGCTCACATCTGCCGGGGATAATCTGCAGAGCCAGCCCCAGGTGCTCCGAGTCTCTTCAGATGATGATGAGCACAAAATCACTCACTGCCCTCTTGAGCTATTTTCTCTCCATATTCTACCGCCCACCCCAACCCCCCCCCGTCCACCCCTCCCTCCCGCCAGTGCTGCACCACCCTCCT